GAATAATTTTGTTAACCAGAGTCACCCCAATAAATTCAACAAAAGGATGAAATAATTAAAATTAAAATAATTTTTAAAAATTAAAAATGAGAGACAAAAAGATGAGATGCACTTAAGTTACTAGTGAATTTGCTGCCTATTGGTACACTGGGCAAAGGCTCAAATTCCTATTGAAAAGTTTTACCTCTCCCTCCCTCCTTCCCCATCATGTCCTCCCTCCGTTTTTCTCTTCCTCCCTCCTTTCTTCTTCCTTTCCTTCTCCTCATTCCCCTCCTTCTTCTTCTCATTTCTGTCCCTATCCTCTGTCTCTATTACTTTCTGTCTCTATCTCTTGTCTCTCTCTTCCCATTCTCTCTTTTGTAACTAAGCTACAACAGGGCACCATGGGCAGTCTCTATTCATGTGGTGCCCATTTTGAAGTAGGACTCAGTCTGTGGGCACATCTCTCCCCCAAGAGCAAATCCAGAACTATTCAATCAATGGAAAGGAAAGCAGATTTTAATAAACATTTACTGAAGATTCTATGGAAAGGCAAATGAGGAGGCTCATATTGCAAATCACACAAAAGTTAATGAAAATTTCCACTGGGCATTCCCCAACCTGTGCACTCACATTTCCTTTTTAGTGGCAGCCCCCTCATCTCACTCTCTGCCCTTCCCCCTCCCATTGCACTGGTTCTAAACTTTCCTGGGTCCTGCATCTAACTCCAGCACCCCCACCTGGTATCTCATGTAGGGAAAGGTAACTCCCTTTTGACAGCCTCTCTCTATGTCTTCATATGGATTATCCTGCTCAGCAGACAAAGGTGCTTCCTTAAGATTTGCTCACCTTCCAATGTGACAGGGAATTTATAGTAAATGATAACATTTTTTTCACAATTCCAAATTATTTTTTTCTTTGTCATTCATTCATTCATTCATTCATCAACAAGTGAGCATAGTAGAGTACATCTGGCAACAGCTGTAACCTTGCTTATTATAAAAAAAAGTCATCCAAACTGTCCATAGTGGGGGTGTGGGAAACATGATAGAGTTCACAGTCACTTGGAGATTCAGAGTTATGAGATCTTTATTTTTTTTAAATACATTTTTTTATTGATATTTTATAGAGAGGAAGGGAGAGGGATAGAGAGCTAGAAACATCAATGAGAGAGAAACATCGACCAGGTGCCTCTTGCACACCCCCTACCGGGGATGTGCCCGCAACCAATGTACATGCCCTTGACCGGAATCGAACCTGGGACCTTTCAGTCCGCAGACTGACGCTCTATCACTGAGCCAAACCGGTTTCGGCGAGATTTATGAGACCTTAAAACTAGCAGAGACCTGAAAAATTGATGTCAGGCATTCCAATCTGGGCCTCGGCATTGTTTCCTTTAGTCAGGGAGAATAAGAATCAGGCTGAAGATGTGGATGTAGCTCTTGAGCACAGCAAGGACCTGATAAACATCAGTCAGCAGGGAGGCAGTGACCTTTCTGTCGGGCAGGATTTGTAGCAGGGAGAGCAAAGGCCTGAGAGGTTAATGATCTGAGGGGCTTTGCTAACATACATAAACTAAAGACCTAACAGAAGTGGTGGTGTTAACTGTCAATGGTGAGTACAAATCTTCATCCAAATGCTTATTGGGGGAGGCAGTGCAGTGTTGGCCAGGACTTTTATCTCAGAGGTTATGCTTGTGTCGGTCCAAGCGTGGCAAAAGGGAGAAAAACACACAGCTGTCTATCAGCTGAGGGCTAGCATGGTAGACTGTCCAACTTCTTCTCCTATACAATCATGGCAATGTCTTCAGGTTCCCTTGCAGGCCATGCTATTTTTAAACCTGCCTGGAGGATCTCAGGAAGCGTGTTGGGCTGTGGTTCTTTGGGGGAGATTACAGGGGACCTGTTGATTCAACTTTCCCAGCTGGGTGCCAACAGGGTCACCTACCAGCCATGCTTACCATTGACTGTTAGAAAGTGGTCAGAAGTTAACATGGAAATGATACTCAGAACCTCAAGGGGCTACACATATGTACTAACATCTGGCCACAGACAACCCAGCTGTGCTGTTGAAAATAGGGCTATTGGACCTGGATGACAATGACGATGATGACGATGACAATGACTATGATGATGATGATGATACGATGAAAATGATAATCATTTATTGAGGTCTTCCTTGTGCCAAGCACTTGGCTGAGTGCTTTATAAACATTCTTATCATGTCTTCAGGACAACCCTGAGAGGCATGTGTCATTTTCCTGTTTCTATAACTTCACTCCTCTACTTATATTCTGCATTTAATCTCAAATATGTCTGATACTAAAATCTGCACCTATAGCCATCACTGTAGCCAAACAAAACAAGCAAATAATCTCTTCCCTTAACACACAGCTGGGCCACAGATAGGCCACAGACGGGGTGCTCTATAGGCTCAGCATGGCTTGCAGGGCCTCTGGGACTGTTCATTAACATAAGTGAACAGAAGTGGGTCTCAGGATGAAGGGGAGCATGGGGAATGAACTTGTTTTCAATGTTGCTGCATTTACAGAAATTACACCATGTTTCTCAGGGCTCTGGGGGGACTAAGACAAGCGAGTAACTCTCATTTCTTAGGCTCTTTCAGCCTTAGAGAGAAATCAAGGCTGGCTCACACCTGTGATAGCAATGCTATGGAATCTTTAAACATTCCCATTCTTAAGTCCCCTCCTGGGCCATGGGTCTTTGGGGCTTGTGTCTGCCTGTGATAGTATCCTTAGCAGAGGCTCATACTGGACCAATACTAATGCTGTTGAGTATCACCTTCTAATACACAACAAGGTGTTCTAGGTTTGCAAATAAATGAGGGGTTCACTGTGCTATGTGGGTAAACAGACATGAAAATGCAGGATTCTTTTCCATAGGACCCTCTCATAAGATGAGAGGGGAGAGGATACCTTGTCACTCACAGAGTAAATCTGGAAGAGACTTGGCAGTTTGCAAAAGGCTTTCAATAAAGACCTTGCTAAATGCAGCTCTTTGAAGGAGGTGATGAAGTCTTCATTCATCCTGGCATGGTGCCTGGCACACAGCTGGTGCTCAATGAATGTTAACTGAACAGTGAAAAATAGTTTTAAGTGCATGATGTCAGGCTGGGGGAGGAGTGTGGGGAGGTGAAAGAGGATGCATGATGTAAACATTAATCAATCAAACATCCTGATTTCAAAGTGTGGGGTAGTAAAAACTGTCTTTGGGGGCAGGCACATCTGGGTTCAAATCTTAACTCTGTCACTTACTGGCTGTGTGATCTTGAGCAAGGCTCTAATATCTCCGGGCCTCAGTTCCCTTCATCCAAAAAAGTGAGACATAAAACTTCCCTCACATAGGTAAGGGAAGATGAAATGAGATGGGAATCACACATATCCAGGTGCAATGTCCCCTGCAGAGCAGCTTGCAGTAGATCCTCTGGTGTGGCCCGCACACCCCCTTGGCCACCCTGGAATTTACTGCAACTCTATCTGCAGGAGTTCTTCTCATAGGAGAAGATGGAAGTACCATGGAGTCAAATCCAACAGTAACCTTCAACCAGTGGAGAATTCACTTCTGCTTGCTCACCCCTTTGTGTAATTATTTTTAATTGTGATTTACACAGTCTATTAGAAGGTCCCTTGTGGAACTGAGTCCCAGTTGTCTGAAGCCTTAACCTATTCACAAACATATCCATGTTTTCTTCCATCCCCTTGCTATCTCACCACCCTATACCCTTACCAAGCTTGCCAAGGAACCCCTCAAATAAACTACTTACTCCAGAACCCATGACTTACAAGGTAATCCAAACTAAGACACAGAAAATCAATAAAAGCTACAATTACTGTGGTTTTTCATAGGGCATGGATGTAGGTAATTAATACTGATAAATGTAAAATATTATTTTAAATGCACACACAAAAGGATTTTATTGCCAGCTGAAGGCATCTGGGAAGGTTTGGGGAAGGAGATTATAACATTCAATCTGGATGTTAAAGATGGGAAGGATTTGTACATGAGAGGATGGGTCAGAGAAGGGCACTTCAATGGAGAGAACAGGGTCTTGTGTCCACTTCTCTAATAATTCCTACAAAATCCATGTGTGAGCCAGGTGGGCAGACAAGTCAGGCGGGTCCACACATTGGTCTCATTCGGATACAGAACTCCCTGACCACATGGCCCTGGCACTCTGGCCCTGAGCTCAGCACACTTTCAGGCTGTACTCATCAGTGCACATGATACACACTTAGTGCTTTTTTTCTGCCCCTGAAGTATGGTTCTGTACTCTCTTTTCTTTGTCGAGGTATTTGTCACCATCTGTGAAGACCTCACTAAGCACTATGCACAGCTGCTCACTGGAGCATACCATAGGTCTCAAGTCTTCTAAAGACACCAATGATGTTTCTGCTTATGTTCCTCAGGGTCCTTCTGGGAATATCAGCTGGGTTCTCTGTTTGGACCTGATGGAACATAAGGGCACCATGACCCCCAAGTTTGAGACATTAGTATTAGGTTGTGTTTGTTTTACTTAACTGATGATCTTTCATTATTTGAATGAGTGGAATAAAGATGTTTCAGCCTATCCAGAGTACATATAGTTGAGGGCTTTCCTGCTAAAAATGGTGGAGGAGAGAAAGAGGAACAATGCTATGCTGCTCAAGATAAGTCTTTGCCACCTCTTTCCTCTAGTTCAGTGTTGAATAAGCCTTTTTAGTCAGGGATTCGTGCTCAAGTAAAATCTCACAGAAGTGGGAATTATACAAGTAAAAGCTGGATTCCCTTGGTGAGTCAAGGTGGTAGGAAGAAGTTTTCTGCTTACCCATACCCTCTTTGAGGAGCACAGTATGAAACCATTGATTGAGTGGATAAGAGGAAGGAAGTGCCAGAGAGTTCAATCTCTTAGTTTTTCCTCTGAAGAAGTAAGCTGAGAGATAATGAATGGTTCATGTTACAGAGTCAGAATTCAGAGAGGTGAAAAAATCTTTCCATTTTATCAGCTTTGCTTTTCTTTTTCAGAGGTTCCAAAAACAGAGCAGACTTTTGAAGAACGCCTGATATTGAAAGCTTTTCTGCTGAAGTTTGTCAATGCCTACTCGCCTATCTTCTATGTGGCCTTTTTCAAAGGGAGGTGAGTGTATTGGTGTCATATATGGAAGAGAAATTGGTCACTAAGTCTGGGTCCTCCACTGAAGTCAGCCTGTTGCCATTATCAATTCACATCCTCAGTCCCATTTCCCATCTCCATCCTTATCTGGCTATTCAGGAAGCAGTTAATACTAAACAATTTTATATTAGCATCTTTATATTCTGATAAATAGGAAAGTTCTACAAGGGTTTGGCTCTGGCTCCTGAAGGGTGAATCTTAGAAGAATTAATGTCTCCTAACTTTGAGGATGAGGTAGTAGAGGATTTCATGTCTAGCCAGAGGCTCTTAGGTTTTGCAATGTAGTTCTGATGCTAACTACTCAAAGTAGTACAGAGTACAGATTAAGGGCACAGTGTCCCACAACACTGTCCTCACTTCAACCACTAGCTATAGGGCTCCCAGGCCACTCATGATTTGGACAACTAACCCTACAACCACTAATCCCTCAGGTTCAGTAATTCACTAGGACACATTACATAGCTCAGGAATGTGCTGTACTTACAATTACAGTTTTATTATAGCAAAGGGATTCAAATCCAAACCAGCAAATGGGAGAGGCACATAAGTGGGTCCTAAACAAACTTCTATAGTCTCAGGAAGTATTAGCTTTCTGGGACATTGATGTATATCAACAATCAGAAAACTAGTCCATGCTTCATGGTTTTTATTTAGGTATCATTGAATAATCCACCATGTGATTGAACTCAATATCCATTTGTTCTCTCCTTCCCTGAATTCAGGCTGCTATTACCTGGCTCAAAGCCCCAATCACATAGTTGGCCCTTCCGGCATGGTCTCCTTCATCCTGAGTTATCTCATTAGCATAAATTTAGGTATAATCCCAATGGCCCACTAAGAATAACAAAGACACTCCTATCAGGAAATTCCAAAGATTTAGAGAATCCTTCCAGGAACCAGCAACAAAGTCCAGTCCAATTCTTCATTATATAATAAGTCTGGATGTAAAATCACTTCTGATAAATATTTTTGTGATTAGATCAATTGGCTATCTACAAGAAGATTTCCCAGGAGCCAGGAAAGCTTCTCCAAAACTAAATGCTCATCAAATAGACATTGGTAGCATTTGATAATTTGATAATTTGATAATATCTTATAAATGTGTTTATGGCCCAAACCACAACCCCTGTCCAGCACCTCTGTCCTTGGCTTTTATGAAATTATAGGAGCAGAGAAACTGTTCATGTTAATGAGTATATATTTCATTGGTGTTTTCTATCTAGTTGTGCTATCATTAACAAATGGCAAACATGATATTCTAGGCAATAGGTAAATAGGGTCCTGACTTTAGATAAACTTGTGGTATATTGAAAGAGTAGTCTTGGCAACAGCACATTGCAATCTGAAAAAAGTGCTGTAATAAGAGCTACAATGATGAATAGAGACAAGGAAACATCACAGAGAAGCAAAGGTTAAATTGAGCCTTAAATAGATGAGTAGAATTTTAACAGGTGGACCTAGATATGACGTTTCAAATAAGTAGGATTCCTATCTAGTTCTATGATTGGCTTCTTATGCCCTAATAAAATTGATGTTACTTTGAAGAGAAATGAGGCAGGCTTCTTCCATTCCTTTGAACATTTTCAGTAAGAAGACTAGATTATTTTTTCCTGTTCCCAGGACTCGCCACTTACTTTAGTCTGTTTCACCCTTCATTTCATGGGAAATTGGTAGCATTCACAGGGAAGTTGCAGTCAGAACTCAATTCTTAAAATTAGTTGAAAGGAGATGCACACACAATATACTTAGAGATAATCCAAATTTTGTGCTTAGTCTCTCTCTCTCTCTCTCTCTCTCTCTCTCTCTCTCTCTCTCTCTCACACACACACACACACACACACACACACACACGCACACACACACACACACACACCCTCTCTGTGACCTTCCCACCCCACACTAGTCTTCACCCCCTATCCCCTGGAGGTGAACCCTAGGTGTTATAGATGATTGTTAGCTGCTAACAGGCATAAATTGTCCCTGGGTGATTTATCACCTGCCCTGACCAGTACTTTCAAGAAAGATATTGGGCAGTGGCTCTTGCTCTAAAGACATGCCCTTAAGCAGCCCTGGCTTTCTCTCTCTTTTCCTAACTCTTCCCACACTTCTCAATTTCAGGTTTGTGGGCCGACCTGGAAGCTATGTTTATGTGTTCAATGGTTACCGCATGGAAGAGGTAAGTATGGCTAGCCACTGGTGTTTCCTGCCTAGCTAGTGGTTTACAGGGGCACCCACCACTCCCAGCCTCATCCTTATCCCCATTGCACCATGCCTGGATTCATGCCCTTGCTCCTCTGAGCTCACTTGGTCTAACCACTCCTTCCATTATCTTTTCCTTTCTGCAGTGTGCTCCTGGAGGCTGCCTCATGGAACTCTGCATTCAGCTTAGCATCATCATGTTGGGGAAGCAGCTGATCCAGAACAATATCTTTGAGATTGGAGTACCGTATGTAATGCTTCTCATCTCCCTCCTTGCTGCTAGGGCCTAGCTCAGCAGGGCTGGACTTTCAGCAGGATTTTCATGGCCTCTCCTCTTCTCAGATAGCTGGGCTATTTTTCCTTTGTCTTCTTGCCAATAATTTTCCCTATAAGGTAGGGCTCCTCTCACAGCCTTGTTTGCCAATCTGATTCGGGATGTTTGAGGCTCAGAACAATTAAGCACTTCGTTAAGCAAGGGGCAGAGCTAGGAACTGGGTATCTCTGACCTCAAGCTGTCTAATATTTTTAATGCTATCTCTTCTCCCAGTGAACAAGTAAAACAGATGTTCAGTATGGTGGATAGGTGAATATGAAAACTTGAAACATAATGTAACTGTTTAGAAAAATCACTAAGAAAGTGTGGAATATATGATCTTCGGAGAAGAAGGATGCATAGCTGATGAATCACAGAATGGATTTTCACATGGATTTTCTCTCCCCTCCCAGATAGGTTTATACAGATTTTATAGAAGGACAACTTTCACTTAAGTTTTGCATTGAGATATTGATGAGGATAAACACTAACTCACAGGCATTAGACCTAAAGAAAAGAAGATGGAGCAAACGAAAATCTGCCTTCAGGTCAAAGAAAATGTAACTTGTCTTACCTTTCATTTATATTGCTTTATGATGTTTACAGAAAAATCTTTTTCAGGGGATATTTTCAGGCAGAAAAGCATCAGAGAGTCAGGGAATGACAGAGATGACTAGGATAACACATACTGGCTGGGCCAATTCTGTTTAGGAGGCCAGGATGGAAAATTTGTACCAGGCTTGGAGATCTTTGCAAATCTCTTGCAAGATTAACTGTTGTGGGATGCAATAATCAGTCCCTATGGGGTTAGCTGAAGATACTAACACACCCTCTTTCTCTCCCTTGGAAATTGACTATGCATATTGTATCAATGGTTCTGAGAATCCTGCTATAAAAAAAAAAAAAAAAAAACCAAACAAAAAAAACAAAAACAAAAACACACTTGTTTAATCCCTTCCTATCCAACTGTATTTGTTCATGTTATTGGCCATCTTATTTGTGGACATTAGGATCCACTATGGCTAGTTCAGGAAGTAAAGGAATTGAAGAACAACTAGCTTAACAGAATATTCCTTACAGGTCAGAGAACCAGGCTCTGAAGTACATAACCAGCATAACAGTATCCACACTGCAGGAAGACTTGAAGGAAATACCACTGCCTTCACTTCTTGACTCACATAACTCAGATATTAAAAGATGAGAACTGTATAATGAAGAGTATACCCACAAATATTGCAGTTTGAATTTAACTAGCTGTCTTCATCAGCTCAGGCTGCTATAACAAAAAAGCATAGACTAGGTGGCATAAACAACACACATCCCACTGCACACTCATTGACCTCTTCCTTGTGTGCATGTGGAAAGAGTGAGAGCTCTGGTGTCTCTTCCTCGTCCTATAAGTGCACTACTCCCAGCACAGGGGCCCCCTCATCCTGATTTCATCTAAACCTAATTATTGGCCAAAGGCTCCACTTCCTACTATCATCATGTTGGGAATTAAGGCTTTAACATATGGCCTTGGCAGGTTTGGCTCAATGGTTAGAGTGTTTGCTTGTGGACCAAAGGGTTGCAGGTTTGATTCCTGGTCAAGTATACATATCTCAGTTGCAGGTTTGCAGGTTTGATTCCTGGTCAAGTATACATATCTCAGTTGCAGGTTCTCCAGCACCAGTAAAGATGTGTGCAGGAGGCAACCAATTGATACCAGTAAGGATGCGGGCAGGAGGCAACCAATTGATGTGTCTCTCTCATCTCTCTCTCTCTCTCTCTCTCTCTCTCTCTCTCTCTCTCTCTCTCTCTCTCTCTCTCTCTCTCTCAAAATCAATGGGAAAAAAACCCTTGGGTGTGGATTAAAAACAAAAATCCAACATATTACTTTTGGAGGGGACACAAACATTCAGTCTATAACAATAGCATGTCTTGCCGAAACCGGTTTGGCTCAGTGGTAGAGCGTCAGTCTGTGGACTGAAAGGTCCCAGGTTCGATTCCGGTCAAGGGCATGTACATTGGTTGCAGACACATCCCTGGTTGGGGGTGGGCAAGAGGCAGCTGGTCAATGTTTCTCTCTCATTGACGTTTCTAGCTATCTCTTTCCCTTCCTTTCTGTAAAAACAAACAAACAAACAAACAAAAAAACAAACAACAACAACAACAACAACAAAAAACAACAGCCTGTCTTTCTTTCAACTTAAGCACACGGTTTGTATGCAATTAAATTTTAAAAATTTAAAAATACATATATGAAATGACCCTTGTCTTCTCAGAGCTTACATTTTAAATTCGAGAGACAAAAGAGAAAGCATGTGACTGGGTACTCTCTGTGTGGTGTAAACTCCATCAGAATTCAGAGTGAGTAAAGGTCAGGGATTTGGGAGCCATCAGAGAAGTCTTCCTAAGCTGAGGGTTTCTTCCAGGCTGTGTCTGTCTCTTGAAGAAGGCTGTCGCTAACATTTGTAACAAGAAACAAGATGGTCTGCAATTATTTTGTTGAAAGAAACAATTTCTCTTGAGTGTGACATCTTTTCTAAATAAACAACAGACTGACTCAGGTTTATCAAAAACACCTCCTAACCTAGGTGGTGCCACAAATGGAAAATGTAAGGCTCATAGAGATGGCAGTTCTCTGATCAAAGTCTCAGGGCCATGGCAAAGGTAAGAGCCCAGAATCTCTCTAAATCTATTGAAAGGTTGCTGATTTCTTGGGTTCAATGGGACCATTATCGGATGTATGATCCAACTCCTTTCTCCATAGAAAACTGCCTCTATGTGGGCTGTCACTGTCTGAAAATTCTCCTGAGAATATTATTTTTTGGTCTTCCTCAGAAACACACTTACAAAGACAAGTTATAATGGAGAAAATGTCATTTACCTGGAAACAAAACCTTTTATAGTGAGAACTCTACTTCAAGAAATGAGAATCTTTAACATTCCCACATAAGACTTTACTATTTCAGTGCTCAGAATAGATCTCAGCATCACCCACTATTAATTAGGCTGAATGCTTAGGATGATTTTTCTGTCCCTACACTAGGACTGCCTCAGGTGGCCTTCTGACATGTGCTTCTCTTGAAGGAGGGTTGGTAAAAGCATTGGTGTCTGGGCGGCCTTATTTTACCTCCCTGCTTAAGCTAGCCTCTAGGCATCAGACAGGAAGTCATCAATCTTAAGAAACTGAACCCTCTGAAGCTGTGCCCTGTTTTCCAGCTTTCTGATTAAGAGTCAGTGATAGTCATCATCAAGCAAAGCTGGTGAAACACATGGTGGCTGTTTCCTAGGAGTTTACCATCTCAGACAGACCACAGTTGTTATGGACAAATACCCAGAAATTATGTAGACCAAAAAAAGATTTACCAAAGCCACATCTTGCCCCAGGGCAGCCTTGAAACCAGCCCCTTCACCATTGCTACAAAGGAAAATCTACATTTCCCTTCAACATCTGGGAAAGACATCTGCCCTTCCAGTACATTGTTGTTCTGTTCTGGATGGAATTGTATATAGCTTGTGGGCACAAGATGCCCATTTTTCATTTCTGGACATCTGCTCTACCATTTAGCCCTCTCACTCTGGACCCAGCAGCCTTTGATAGAGTGTAAGAGGGGCAAGAACTCAGGCATATGTTTGCTCAGTGTGTTGGCTTGTTCCCTACCCATCAACTCCATCAGCTCCATAACAGATGAAATTAACATACAACTGTTTGCCTTGGAGGGTACATTTTCTGATTTATGCTTGATGTATGTTTAATATGCCACAGTTAATTGATGCTAATTGCATAGTAATTAAAGCTGTAGGCGTGTCACTACTCTAAATCTCACTGTCCTCATCTTGTGAAGAAAATGATGGTGTTATAACCATCTCTAAGGTGCTCTCATTTCAGCTCGGACATTCTGTGAACCTCTCCTTTAGTCAATGAAGCTTGTCACTGGTGATTCTAAACACACATTTTGTTTCAAAATGTTTTTTCTCATTTCAGTTTCTAGTTTGCTAAAGGACACACACAACATAATTATGTACTTAAATTCAGGGACATATAACAAAAAGTTCTTCCACCAAACCCTAATTATTCTATCTCCAAAGCTCTTTATAGTTCTACAGGTTGTATTTTGAGTTTGGTCACATGAAATAACTATGATTATGATTTATGGACCTACCATTGTCTACTCAGAGCCTACTCTGAACAAATTAGATCCATCCAGTCTAGGGTTCAGCACCTGGCAATATCCTTATGTGTGACACTGTTGAAATAAGCAAGAAAATAAAAAGGAGTCTTTTATAGTCCACAGAGAAATGACAGTTGAGCCTGTGAAGAAGGAACAGAGTAAATTATAAAAATTAGCCCAATGACCGTTAGCCCTTTGGTGGAGATAGTTTAATATGCTCACTGTATAACATCAGCAAAATTATTCTAGAAAAATTTGTGTCCAACACAGTTATGGGAAAACACAGCCTGGATATATGCTCAGCTATCTAGAAAACGGAAAATATGAACATTTGAGAAAAGAAGAACCATTCTTTGGGATTTCAGGTTGTTAAGAGGTTGATGAATATTATTGCTTATATGTTTACATGTGATGCTTGTATTTCAAGTCCTGGAAGTAGATTGAAAAGAGCAATTCAAGAATACGATTTTCCTCTTCTGTTCTGAGCCCAGTAGCTTTCGGTTCAAAATGTAGCTCTCATGTACCTTTCAGAGCCAGCCTAAAAGTTTTTCCTCAAGGAAGATAAATACCAATTTTAGAGTACAGACTTGATTTTTTTTATATAAAGAAGCAAGTCTGAGGAGTTAGGCAGGTGATCATGCTAGATAAGAGTATTTGGGGTAAAAATATAAGATTATACAGTTGTAAGATTGACTGTCTATAGTATTCATTTCCTACTTCTGAGAGCAATTTTTTAACATTTTTCCAAAGAAAAAATTTAAAATGTGAAAGACTATC